AATATATATGAGTATACATATAAAATATATATGTCTATACATATATATTATTTTGCTTCCTTTTTTTAATTTATTATATATATGGGGTTATCCATAACGTGGCTTCAAGTGAGAAGGACTGTAAATTAGCAACTGTCAAACGTAACTGTCAAACAAAAAAGTTTTGGTTTTAGTTAAAAGCCAGACATTTATGAAAATGAATGGCTTAAAAATCCCACAACGAGTTGAAAGTGTTCGAACTTACTACCTACTACAATATTTATTCAAATATGGCCACGTTACGTGCTTTGAGTTGAGATAATGAAGCTCGAAACTCGCGTAAGAAATTGATCAAGAATCTTAACGAGATGCCGACTGCATTATATCCCCCTCGTCGAAGGCTGCGTCCTTATTGGCAAAAAGCTCCGAGTGCCAATTTTCACAGGCTTTTCTTAAGGCCAACTGCTCACTCTTAAGCGCGTTCGCCATGGACAGGAAAAGACGACAATCACTTAGTGCCAGGTCCGGACTATAATGTGGGTGCATTAGGACCTCCCATCCGAGCTCCTGGAGCTTCTGGCGCGTCACCAAAGATGTGTGTGGCCTGGCGTTGTCCTGATTGAACACAATTCGGCATCTTTTCTTGAAAGATGGCCTCTTTTGGATGAGTGCTGCCTTCAAGCGGTCCATATGTTGGCAGTAGAGGGCCGAATTGAGCGTTTGATCATAGGAGAACAGCTCGTAGTAAATGATTCCTTGCCAATCCCACCAAACCCACAGCAAAACCTGGTGCATCTTTGACATCGGAATTATCGGAACGCAACCTAGCAAACCACTTTTGTTCTAGCCGCCTTGGCTGCATTTTCGCCTTGATCGAAGAAAAATTGTAAAATTTAGCGAATTTCCTCTTTGCTGGTGTGCATCTTTGACGAGCGCTCACAACGTACTGAGTCAATCAATTGAAAAACTGTCAAAGGCAGACTTTTAGCGCGAATAAACACGTTTTCACTGCCGAATAGTATGATGCGACACGTATCACCAGTACTATGAGCAATAACGTCACCTAGATAAAAACCGAACGAACTTTTTACTTGGCCTATGTGGTTTCAACATGTTGGTATCGAAAGTGCAAAAATTCGCGAGGCAGTCATTTCAGTGAAGCAGTATTTCAAGGCAACAACTTTCATATAAAATAAAGAACGTCATAGAAAAAAGTAAATGTTTTTCATTTACGTGTACTTTTGAAACTCCGAAATGTACAACCCTGTAATATTTCACAGCACTCACAATGGCAATTCATCAAATTGCTTTTAACAATGAAAATGCATTGAAATGTTATACCATAAAAATTTTACAATAATAGTGGCGAGGCAGATATTGTGTAACAAATACATACATATACATACAGTTATTTGAAAACATAAAATAAAAAATGGGATGAAATTCACTGCATACATGATAAAAAATTTTGCAAAATACGCAAAAGTAAAAATAACTCTAACTGGCTTAAAAAATGTATTTTCTAAAAAATTGGAATTGCATTTCAACGTTGAGTGCGCGCATTGTCAGTGCGCAAGCTTTGAATGGTTTATTTTTTTATTTACATAAAGCTTAATTTTTCATCATTTTTCATTATTTTTCATTTTATTTATTTTAATTTCTTAATTTTTTTTAGTAGCTGCAAGCGAAAAAATAGAAAAAATTAAGTTGTTTAAAATTTTTTAATACATTTATACGAATTGTTTAGTTTACAGTTCAGTTCACATGCAAATGCACTTCACTTTTTTCGAATTATTTTTTTTTTTTTTTTTTTGTAAAACTACCAACACTATTACATATAGCTGACTTTTTCATGCGAATCAAATGCTAAATTTTTAAAATGAAATTTAGAGTACTTAATAACACAAGAGCCAAATGAAATAACAACCATTTAACCAGTCAACAGTCGAATAAATTTAAACAAAAACACCTATTAATCCCTCTACAATTACTAAAATGCAATAAATTTTTATCACCGTAAAGTATTATTTTTGTATTTAATTTTTTATCATTATTTTTTTATATGTTTTTTCGAAATGTATATAAAATTAATATCGAAAATTTATTTGTTAAAAACAATCAAGCTCAATCAAGCTCTGGAGCCACCATTGATGTATGCAGTCTGACGTTCTACTGATGAAACATAATTCCTCTGCCGTTGGCCAAAGCTGGGCGCATCTGTGCGATAACTTCCTTTCTTTAGGGGATGCAATGCCGTCAGTACAGGTCCGAATTAGTAATTTGGCGTTCAAGGAGTAATTCATAGTGGATGATTTCTTGCAAACCCCACCAAAACGGACAGAGAAAAACCTCTTATGCCCCTGTGCATGTCTTCGAGACCGTTTGTACTGATCCGCTGCCTTTCCATCAAGCCCGTTGTCTTTTGTCATTTACTGCAAGCGATCCATTTTTCATCAACAGTCAATATCCGCTTCAGTATTGGTTCGATTTTTTTACAAATCAGCAGTGTTTAGCAGTGGGAAATTTGGAATATGAAGTTTTTTTCTCATTGACTTATGTACACTCTTCAAGCTGGCTTGGGTGTTCAGCCTTTTTCAAGAGACCCCAATCTGTTTTTTTTGGTGAAATGCTTAGCTTTTGGAAAATCGAAGCAGTGCTCTCATAATGGCCGTACTCGAATATTATCAATATTTATCGTCATTTTTGAAAATTCGCTTTCCATGCCATGAAATATTTTTTAAATATAAATTACCAGATCAATATATATGGCATAAAGATTGCAGTGAGAAACTCGTGATCAGTATTCATCTTATGTGGTACCCAGTTTGGAAAGAGCGTGACAACCCGAAGAACATTTTTTCGCCTTTAGAACCGTTCGATGGCAACAGGACCATTGAAAGTGCTTTAGGAAGTTCTTTAATGTTATACGTTTAAAAATTTTTTTAATAAATTAGGATGTTTGTTAAATGTTACCGCTTTTCTCGCTATGAAGACCGTTAGGCGAAACTAAGCAATTCGCCCTCGGCTTGCATCACGTTGGGCTTCCGGAAAATATTACCAACTCTGTGAGACTTTCAAGGACAGTAAGAAAAGACAAAGAACTAGTGGTGCTTCTCCGACTTGTTCGTTTTAAGGATTCAATAGAAGATGAGTAAAGCATCTGTCCACCTGAAGTGTGGTTGTAGGCGGACGTCGGTCCTGAAGCAAGTGGCTCACTACAGAAATATTTTCTAACAACTTCCCCTCATGTGGATGAATTAAGCGCCTTGTTTGTGCGAATGTCTTAGATATGAGAGTGTAACTGCTCAGTAGAAACTAAAATATTGTAAATGGTGATCATGGAAAGTATACTTAGCACTTCACCCGGAATGTTCTTTAATTAAGAAAGCGCTGCTGTGCCGAATTGAAGGCTGGCATTATCCTAACCTATGTATTGCGGTGGACGGCAAAATCACGTACATGAGTAGATCCTTGTGTTATATGCTATAGCGACCCTATAATGGAGATAAAATTTGTTGTAGGAGTGGCGGTGGGGGATTGATGCAGGCTTGTTGTCCTGGAATTTACACTGACGGATGTACACTTCACCGCAATCTAGGTGAAAATACCATATGTTGTTGTTATTGTTTTAGTGGCTTGCCAACCCCGATTAGGAGCAGGTTAGACACTGAATCATAGAGATCATCTAACGAGAGGTCAAGGAAATGAACTGTTTCGAAGGGAGAGAGAGTTAAAATTGTTATTCGAGGCAGCTTGAGCTCTTCATCTGATAGGGATGGAAAAGATGATGTGATCAAGAACGCCTTTTTGTGAGTGCCTGTCGCATTCACAATAACAATATGGGGTCTGGCAACTTTATAGCAAGGCTCAGCGAAAAATGCTGCTGGACTGTATAATGAAGCATTTCTAAATATATTGGGGCAGACCAACTTATTCTTTGCCCGAAATATGATTGTCTGTACTAACAGTTCCATCATAAGTGAACCTGTCAAGCTATATGTTTCACGAAGAATCGAAGAACTAGTAGCCAAATCCACAATGAAGTGAGGGACTGAAGACATGTTTCCAGTGTATTACCTCAGATGCTGAATTATCGGTCAAGAACCCTTGCCAATAAATACAAAGAAGGATCGATTTCGAGAAGCTGCATTCGCAGAAGACAAACAAATCGCTTTCTACACGACTTGCAGTACGCTGTTGTCGCGGTGTAATAGATAACAAGAATTTAGCTAGGAAGTGAGAAGGTGCAATGCCATAATGTGCGAGTATGAAGAGCGTAAGCAATTTGACGAGAATGTAATGCTCGAGAAGGGATGGTATCATTCGATGAATCGGTATTAGAAGTTGTTGTGTGAAAGGTTTTTGAAGAAGATTTAGTTTCTACTGAGAATTAGTAACAACGAATAATGCTGACGAGATATGCGATGACAATGATATTAGGCAAGGGTGGCCCTGAGTAGGAAATGGCGCCTGGAGAGATGAAAACGCTGCAGCTCTGAAAGTGTTCTATGGAGTATCCGATGAGGAAGCAAAGAACGATACGGTAAAGCAGAACCTGTGGTTCTCTTGATATCTCAGCAAAAGCAGAAGCGTCCCTGTTGCTTTTATTGATTTGGTTAGAATTGCTTAAGTAAATTTATTGTGAAGAAGTTAAGACTCTTTTAAAAACATATTAAGCCCTAACCCTGTACCTTTTTATAATATGGCACCCAGAAAACTTGAGCTAGAATTGCCTTGCAAAAACTTTAATACACCTCACATGCACAAATAGTAATAAATTCTAATTATAAGGACTACTTTAAGGCGCCGTTGTTTACCTTAATGTGCTTAAATGACATAAAAAGAAAAGAAAGACAGCATGAATATAGCACAAAAGTAAACACAAGAGAACTGAAAGTATTGTTGTCAACCAGCATAAGTAAATATGAACCTTTGTACGTTCGCGTTTAACAGTAAAACCCACATAAAACCGCTTATTTCACTCTACTAATCGTTCTTTTTGCTTGCTTTTCTCTTTCCAGGCACCTGCAAACAGCCGCTCGGCATGGAATCCGGTGCCATCACTGATACGCAAATCACCGCTAGTTCAGCGCACGACATGGGCAATGTAGGCCCACAACATGCCAGGTAAGTTAGTTACATACCCGTTTAAAGGACATGAAAAGTCAATTCTTATTTGTTAGGCGTATAAACGAACAACTATATGTACATAAATACATAACTTAACATATTCAATATATACATATGAAAAGGTGTACAGACATAAAACTTCTGGTAAAGTAAACCTAGAAATAAAAAAAAAAAAACTTTTTTTATAAAAGTAAGAAAATATAGTAAACAAGCTATTGTTGTTGCATGAACAAGGTGAAATGACAAAAAGCGCACACAAACAAATTTACGTATGCAAATTTTAACGGTACTATATGCATTTACTTTTGTTAAAAGCGCGCTTCTACGTACTTCCTTTTTAGCGGCAGGAAACATCGTCATAAGCACAGGAAGGCAAACAAATATACACTCGCACATAACTTTGCCCTTTTGGCGGTTTTCTTTTGTTTTGTTTGTGCCTTTGACAAATTTAACGTATGTAAAGATACGTGTGTGAGTGAGTAAATTGTTACTAGTTGTGTACTCGTATTTTTATTGACAATATTTTACAGAATATCAGTTATCAGTTTTGAACTAGTAAAATACCAGTTCATTTATGAATGTTGAATTTCTACTTTGGTATAAATAACACATAATTGTCTACAGCAAGTTTGGAACTCTGACACACTTCCCCAACAGTGTTAACCTTCAACTATTCGACCACTCGTTATATGACGACGAAGTATGTATGCCAAACTGAGACCCGAGATGAATTGATTGATTGTGTTTTTATTCACCTCAATGGGAAATTTCCAGCAAACAGCTAACTGGTATAATTTTAATTTTTTTTTTTTACCAATACAAAAGTCGATTCACATTAATTTTCCATGGCATGTCCTTTGTTCATTTGCTGTGTGTTCACAAAAACAAATAACAAACAATCAAACAAGATAAAGCGTACACACAAAAATACTTTAACAGAATGAGACAATAGAAATTAATATGAACTATTTTATGGCGTGTTTAAATATTTTTATGTATGCCATTTGTCTGCGTTGCCATCTAACTAAATATCGCGTGAGATGTCGTGGCAAAAAAAAAGTTTAAACAATATGAGTTGTAATAACCAATATAAACAAGGCTGAAAAAGAATAATAAAAAAAATGGAGAAGGTCAGACAAATTAATCTATCTTTGTTATAACAACGGTATTTTGGGTACTTTGTAACTTGGCAACTAATGTTCTAGAAGAAATATGGTACATTACAGCAAGTATAAGGCTTAAATATACTTCTGGCTCGAGCTTTTGATGTATTTTTACAGCAGAAATGCAGTTGGAGGGGTTGAAGTTCTCTGCCTCGGAGAGACCGTTTGGTAGGGCTCAAAATTCGAACCCATGAGTTGAGTTGAATTAAGTTGCTGGGGTTGCAGGTCATTACCAGCACACTTAGGCCAAAAGACCCACTGTGATATCGCTGAGGCTCCCATTTTCATCCTCTCAAATATTCGAACCATTTCGTATGCTTTTAAAGCCAACAGGATTCCCAGTTTTCCCTGAAGATGTGTTCCCCGAGGAATTTGTGTTACACCGCCATGCAATGACAGATGTAGTGCTCGATAAACTCCTCCTTTTCTTTGTCCCTGCAGCTGCGACAAAAATCAGTTTAGTGACATCCCATTCTCCTCCCGTGAAGTCTTTAAGCAATTACCTGTGTGTTCCGGTACCCAGATCTTGGCAGTGTTGAAGCTGGTTGAGAGTATGCTCAGATTATTTCTGGATTTTGTAGCCATTTTTTATTATGTACTGTTATGTTAGAGAGAGCTTATGTCAACTTGGCTATCGTAGTATATTGCAACACACTGTCCTGCTGTCGTAGATTATTGCAACTACTCGGCGGCTTCCATAGTTGCAAATAGTTCTGATTAGAAGATGCTGCAGTCTGGTAGCCTCATACTTGTATTTAATAAGGGCTTCGGAGAATAAAGTTCGCCGACTAATTTTCTATCGAGATTTTAGTCGTCGATAAAGATGCCTATGGCTCTCTGATCAAGGGCTTTGGTATTTTCAAACTCATTTCTGTTTGGGATGGTTGCGGAGAGCAGATTGGAGAAGCACATAGTGGACATCTCCAGTAGTACAGCTCCATCGGCACTTCTGCAAGAAATAATATTTTACTGCGTTTCAGCTCGCTACATTTCCCGTATAAGTTCAGAGGAAGGATGTTGAGATGAGTTAGTAGTGCTTTTGAGCCGACTTTCTCTAATTCGCTTCTGAAAGTAATTTTCTCGAATGCCTCTAACTACCGTTGAATAATCCAGTAAACGATATTCGGCCTAAGACCCCGTCTTCTTCATATCCCTGTTTTGTAAGCTTTCCGTAACCTAAATGGTCAGGGTCCGTCACCAACGTCCGGTTATGAACAATCAGAGTCAATGAGATACTGAAGCCATAATGAGGGCATTCCTGGAGTCTTTTTAAACTTGATACCCAGCTAATTGACCAATCTGTGGAATTTGAAAAAACGATGAAAACTAATGGTGTAGAGAAAACGATTGCTATAGTTTGAGCCTCTTCACCTCCTTTTTTGATCTCAAGATGAACAAAATGAATTTAAACATTAATACTGATTTTGGGCCCTAGATAGGCGAACTTCTCTACGATCTCGAAATTATGACTGTCAGCAGTTATGTGGAAGCCAAGTCGTCACTGCTATTGATGAGAGAGAATGTTAGGTCTTGCCACTACCAGACCCATTCGATTCCGTCTGAACTATCGGCGTCCATCAGGATTATACCTTTTCTGTTCAGCTCTTCCGTTCTAATTATTACAATATATCCAGCAATAATTTAAAGACCTCATACCATAAGGAATTTCCTTGTCTGAAACCTCTTTTGGTATCGAACCGCTCGGAGTCGTTGTGCCACGTCCTGCCTGAGATTTTAGTCTTTATTAATGTCAGCTTACATGGACCGCATAAGTTTGACAGACATAGCGACGTAATGGCAGTTATTATTCGATCCTTTTTTTACGGGTCTTTTTTCAAGATTTTGCGCACGATGAACCCATGGTCAATGGCCGATTTACAAGGTCTACAGCAACCATGATGAAGTCCAATTGTCCTAGATTGGTCACGGTGGGCTGTGGTCTTTTACACAATATGCTTGCTAGTATCTTATATATGCAATTGGCGAATACTGTTGGATCGCCCTTTTTTTGGATTAGGCAGAGTGCACTTCCAATCGTTGGGCAAACTTTTGTTCGACCATATTCTGCAAGGTGCATGTCTTCTCTCTTTAGCAGCATGTTTGAATAGTTATGCCGGTAGGCCGTCATCTTTAGGCGCTTTGTTGTTCTTTCGGCGGGCAATAGCTATTGAAATCTTGTCCCAGTTGGGTATTTAAACGTGTTTTATATTGTCGTCTATTCGTGCCGGGATCAATGGGCTAGAATTCCCCCTGAATTCTGGTGACGGGGATCGTAAGACAGGGCCGAATCTTCAGGCAATCCTCAAGCTGAAAAAGAAATAAAAACCTTCTCCGACAAATAAAGAATAAGAAGGAAAATCTTTAGTTGATGTTAGACACAGATTTATTTTGAATAAAAGGGCAGCTGTACATGTGAAGAGGGGTTTTTTAAAACTTATTCCTACCTGATGTTGCTGCTGCTGAGGTCCCGCAAAAAAAGAGGAATTTTGGATGGCAATATCGGCCTTTTATGCCTTCCACAGAAGGTGGAAGGTGTAACGGATCGTTGATTAACAGGACCCTTCCCAATAGGGATGAGTCACGTATTGTACTAGCAGCAGCGACATCTCCTGTGGTAGATTCTGGGTTGCCTACTCAAACAACGTCAATTACGGTTTTGAGTTCACCATCTCTAGGGATTCCATTTTCACAGACATAGTTTTGCTTCATACAGCAAGTATGATCTGGATAACGGTCACCAGATTACTATCTTGGTTCCTAACTTAGTATGCTTTGTTCTTGAAACCTTCTGTGAGTTAATGCATTATGTTGTAAGAATTTTGAGGTTTTACCCTATTCAAACTCGCATCTCGGCCGCTCTTTTTTGTTTCTCGGCATATTCATTTTACTTCTCTCTCAATTCTTTCTCTTAAAGAAGACATTACCATATTTTTGGTCGTCCACTTCTTAAAAAGAGTATTAAATAAATAATTATTTTCTAATTATTTATATTCCCGGTCATTCTTGTTAATTTTAACTTTTTCATTTTCCTATTATTAATGTAAAAAAACCTTCCGATATGGCAACGAAAACGCTAAAAGTTGGCGTGAACACGCTGGAGCCTGTAGACGACAAAACCCTCGTTTTCAAATAGATCTGAACCAGGTATTACATATATATTACGCAACATTCGCGAGCAAGCAAAAGCAACTGAGCGCTGTTAAAAGTCAAATGTTGACAATCGAAAGCTGCCGTGTCACTAGGCTAAAAGTGAAATGATAAAGCTTCAGCTCTACAGCGCCTGCTTTAAACCTTTGACATTTTTTAGTTAAATGCAAAAAAAAAAAACAATGAAAAAATTTATCCAACCTTCGTCTTCTTTGCCTATACTTTCCTACGTCATTTGCTATTCCTGTATTTTTTTTTTTGTTTCATTTTCTACGCTTTCTTTGCATATCTCCACATACCACTGATTTATGTGCTCGTAAAAGTATTTATATCTTTGTATATAAATAAATGTAAGTGTATGCAAAATGCTATAAACGGCTTGTGCATATCAAAAAGAAAATTGTAATTATTTAGAAAGCAGTGACATTTTTACAACGTCAAATGTCAGTGAGTGTAAATCAAAAGGTCATAACGGTACGAGTATGTCTGGCTGCTAGGCAGTTAGGAAGCGGAAAATATATTATATACTCGTATGTATGTAACGTATTATATATGGAAAAAGTGAAAGTTTTTGTGTGTGTAAATGTGCGTCACATGCGTTTGCCTAATGACAACAGTTATTTGGAACGTTTAGTAACACAGCGGGTAGTAAATCAAGTATACATATATACAAAGATTTTAAAATGA